TAAAGAGATTTACATGGGCAAAATGAATTAGTTTAAAGTAAAATTTTAAAAACTGGATATTTTGTCCAGAAAAAGATAAAAGAGATTGAGTTGCCTGGTGGCGAACAGCTGAATTTTCTCATTAATATGCTTCTTGCTTTTCCTGACCATTGATTCATAGGTGAAAGTCTTCGCATTAATAATTTTCACTATGTTCTAAGGTCGTTAACAAGAACGTCAACCAGCTAAGCTGTGATGATTATGTACCAACTTGGTTAGGCCACGGTACCCAGGTATTTGGTCAAACACCAGTCTAGATGTTGCTGTGAAGATGTTTTTTAGATGAAATCAATTTTAAATCAATAAACTGGAGGTAAAGCAGATTATCTTCCATAATGTGGGTGGGCCTCATCCAATAAGCTGAAGGCCTTAACTCCAAAAAAGAGACTGAGGTTCCCCAAGGATAAAGGATGTCTGTCTCCAAATGTCCTCAGACTTGAGTTGCAACATCGACTCTTCCCTTTCCCAGGTCTCCAGTCTGCCAGCTTACTCTGTAGAGTTGGAAACTGCCAAGCGTCCACAATCACATGATCAATTCCTTAAAATAAATCTGTTTCTTATCTATAAACACACTTCTTTTTGGTTCAGTTTCTCTGGAGATTCTTTACTAATACACCAACATTCTCATTATGAAAATGTCATGAGTACTAGCAAGAAACAATTGGTATTTGGAATTAAAACAAAATTGAGCATTCAAAAAATGAAGCGCGTATGTACAAATCTAACTAAATACGTAAAAGATCTATATAGGGAAAACTACCAAATCTAATGAAAGAAATCAAAGAAGAACTAAATAAATGAAGAAATAATTCAATGTTCATGGATAGGAAGACTTAATATTGTCAAGACGTCAACCCTCCCCAACTTGATCTACAGATTCAATGCAATTTCACTCAAAATCCCAGCAAATTATTTTGAGGATATTGACAAACTGATTCTAAAGTTTATATGGAAAGACAAAAGACCCAAAATAGCCAACACGATATTGAAAGAGAACAAAGTTGGTGGACTGACATTACCTGACTTTAAGACTTCCTATAAAGCTACAATAATCAAGACAATGTGATACTGGTGAAAGAATGCACAAATAGATCAATGGAACAGATCAAATGCCCAGAAATAAATAGATGCACACAAGTGTATTCAACTGATTTTTGACAAAGGAGCAAGGCAACACAGTGTAGAAAAGATAACCTTTTCAACAAATGGTGCTGAAACAAGTAGACATCCACATGTGAATATTTATATATGCATAAAATGGGAAACTATAAAACTCCTAGAAGATAACACATGAAGAAATCTAGACAAACTTGGGTTCAGTGATGACTTTTTAGATCCAACGTAAAAGGCATAATCAATGTAAGAAATAATTGAATCCTTGAATACATAAATAAACTGGACTTAAAATTTAAAAATTCTGCTCTGTGTAGACATTGTCAAGAGAATAAGAAGACAAGCCACGGACTGAAAGAAAGTATTTGCAAAAGACATACATGATAAAGGACTGCTGTTCAAAATACACAAAAGAACTCTTAAATGCAGTGGTAAGAAAACAAACAACCAAATTAAAAATGGGCAAAAGATCTGAAAGCATCTCACCATAGAAGATATAAAGACGGCAAATAAGCATACGAAAAGATGTTCCACACATATGTTATCAGGAAAATGCAAACTAAAAACACAATCAGACACCTCTACACACCTATTGGAACGGTCACCTAAAACACCAAATGCTGGTGAGAAAGTGGAGCAAGAGGAACTCTTATTCATTGCTGGCGGGATGGAAAATAGTACAGCCATTTGGAAGACAGTTCAGGTTTTTTACAAAGTTAACCATAGTCTTAACATCAATCTTCCCAGTAACTGCTCCCCTTGGTATTTACTCAAATGAGTTGAGAACTTATGTCCACACACAAACCTGCAGATGGATGCTTATAGTAGCTTTATGATTGCCAAAACTTGGAAGGAACCAAGATGTCCTTCAGTAAGTATTCGGATAAACTGCGGTATATCCAGACAATGGACTATTATTCAGTGCTGAAAGGAATGAGCTTTCAAGCCATGAAAAAATAGGGAGAAATCTTTAAAGCTTATTACTGAGTAAAAGAAGCCAATATGAAGGAGCTACGTGTTCTATAATTCCAACTATATGACTTCTAGGAAAGGCAAAACTGCGGAGACAATAAAAAGATGAGTGGTTGCCTCAGGCTGGGGTGAAGGGAGGGGCATGAATAGCCAGAGCACAGGGGATTTTTAGGGCAGTGAACTTGGTGGATATGTGTCATTATACATCTGTCAAAGTGCACAGAATGTACAATACCAAAAGTGAACCCCAATGTAAGCTATGGACTGAGGGTGACAACGATACGTCAATGTAATTTCATTGATTTTAACAAATGTACTGCTGTGGTGTGGGATGTTGAAGTGGGGGAGGCTGTGCACGCTTGAAAGTGAGGCTATATGAGAAGTCTCTGTACTTTCTGCTCAATATTGCTGTAATCCCAAAACCGCTCTAAATACAGTCTTTTAAAAAAAAGTCATGGGCCATTAAAACCCTCTATGAGACTCCAAGTGTTTCCATTTCTTTCCAGCTAAAGTTGAGGGCACCACCAGCAATTAAAACATGATTTACATTAAGTTAAAGGATAAAGTAGCATTTTAAAACCAGCTGCCATTACTTGCATTATTTATTCATAGGGTACTGTGTAATTGCAGAATTGTGCTGAATAAAGACAAATGAGTTATCTTTATTGAGGAACATTCAGTCCAAAGATAGAATGGAAATTTAGGAACAACTTTAATTTCTCAGGATCATCAAAATGGGCATTTGAATGGAAGGAGGTGAGTCCAAAAGACTCTTGCATGGACAAGACTCCTTTCCGGATATTTATACTTCTTGTACCTAACTGCACAGTGAGAAGAACCATACTGTCCTCAAATTGGCCTAAGTGTTGGCCTATACATATATATGTTTTTACTTGGCAATTTGTTATGAATGCATATTTCATGAATCTAATAATATTAAACAAATGTCACTAAATTACACTCTAAATACAAAGTTGTCCAAATATGGGAAGGGAATCTCTTGAGTCTCATTGAACCACTACCAGTCATCAGAAGTGTTCATCTCGATATAAAATGCACTATTCTTAAAGAATTCAGAAACAGCAGCATTATACAATTGGAGAGCTTGTTTTTTCTCTTTTAGACATTTAAATTTGTCCTACGTGTTCCCATAACTAGTTCTTGGTGTGCTTTAGTTTTGTTGTTGTTGGGTTTGTTTTGTTTTGTTTTGTTTGAGCCAAGTGAATAGTTTCCCCTATTTTAACTTAAAGCTTAATACGTGAATTAAACACACTTTCCTCTCAAAGATTTTCTTGTTGCATTAGAGAAGATGGTTGACACTGTGGAGCTATAGAACATTATGACCACACTGAAAGCTTATGTCCCACTGCTCTCGCTTTCCACTTCCTGTTCTAACAGTACTGAAATACTTCCTTTTGTTCCTCTCTGAAGTCACACAGACTCTTTCCTCTGCTTGCAATGTCCTACCCTCCCTCTACCAGGCTTACTCCTTAACTTTGCAGACCCCAGTTTAAGTGTGTCCTCCCCCAGGAAGCTCACCCTCCTTGCTCCCAAATGACTTAAACACTCCATCTGCTTCTACCCGTTAGCTTACCTACATACCACATACACACTTCAAATTGCTGCTGTTAGTTTATGGTTCCATATTGCAACATTTCTTTTACAGTTTGTCGCCTCTGAGTGAGTGAACTTTGTCTGGTTAGATGCTATCTTTTATTCATCTCTGTTTTCTCATGCTCTCACACATTGCCTAGCCCATAGTAATTGCTCAAGAAATGTTGGATGAACTTATGAAGTAATGCATATTACTTCATTGTCATCAGCAAGTGGTGTTTTATTTAAAATACAAAATATATTTGTTTACAGTTTAAAAATCAAAAGTTAAGCTAGAGAATTTAGCATCCTAACCATGCCTTGTCCGCTCCCTGGCCCAGTTCCCTTGTAACTTAAATAAGAAGCTGTTTTATTCTTGCAGTTTCTGCTAGTTGAGAACTCAGTGTGATAGAGATGCATTAATGCAGGCTGGATTTGCCTAGACATCAATAAACTAGAAAGGCTCCCAGGGGGCCACTTGTAGTGTCAATAAAGGCTCATAATTACTTGCTCCTTTGAGCATTTTAGACCCTGTCCCCTAGTTCGCTCTGCTGTGAATATGAGGCTGGAGAAATGAGAGGTTCTTAACTTCTCAAACCCTAGGCGAAGAAGGGCAAACCTTGGCGGGGTCCCCGGATTTTTAAGCAAATGTCCTGGCTGTTAACGTTAGCTGTCAGGGGAAGGGTAACTCAGAACTCTCCCTTTTGTCCCTCTCTGGCGGAGGACTGGTGGTGGGCCTCACCACTTTCGGGCTTGAGGAGGTGTAAACCCCAGTGGTGAAGAGTGGTTGACTGCGGCTCCCAGATACTGTCTCACGCTGGAGTTGCCTTCTGACCCATCCCCACCAGCCCCGCTGTGAGGAGCCAAACCAAGGCGTGATACAATCAGAGCAGCAAGCTTCTCTCCAGGTGAGGGCGGGGACCAAACGACCGAGGAGGAGTACTCAGACTGAAGACTCTAAACCAGGACTAGAAAAGTGTCCCTGCCACACAATACAATAGACATAAGGCAAACAGTAGAGGGGAGGAGGGTGTGAAAGTCAGAGGTTAAATACCCATGATTGAGACTATTTGGAGAAGAGTTTGCCTTTCATTCTTTCCTCTTTTGCTTCCTTCTTCCTTTCTTGCTTTCTTCCTCCTTTCTCTTTCTTTGTTTTCTTTCTTTCTTTCCTTCTTTCTTTTTCTTTCTTTCTTTCTTTCTTTCTTTTCTTTCTTTCTTTCTTTCTTCTCTCTCTCTTCCTCTCTCTCTCTCTCTCTCATTCCTTCCTTCCTTCTTTCCTCCTTTCCCTCCTTCCTTCCTTCCTTCGCGTGGGTATGGGTGTATTTAAAAAGGAGGTTCTTGGTGGCTGCTTTTCGCAGAATCCTGTTTCTCCGCAGTGAAGTTTAAGTGGGATTGGAGTTTCTTTGACTTCCGCGTGAGGAGTTTCCAAGTGGCAATGAAAGCGTCACATAAATATCCATGAAGTTCCTAATGACACCTCTGTCATCACTTGTTTCCCGCAGGATCCTAAGCCAGGGTAGTCATCCACCACCCTCCCTGAGTATCGACTAACCGGTTCATGTGTGTATTTGTACTTTCCAGATTGAGCTGTGTACAAAACATCCTCCTCTTCCTTCCCCATTCACTCTACTTGGGAGGGCGTGCGTATGCGTGTGCGCGCCTATGTGCGCGTGTATGTGCGTGTGTGCGCGAGTGTATGTATGTTTAGCAAAGCGCTTGAAAGAAGCTACCCGTCTTGTAACCCGCCCCCAGCTCTAACCGAAGCATCTCTTGAGCAGGACGCTTCTCTAATCTGTCCCCAGTTGAGATGCCCTCTCCGCGCTGATGCGGGCAATCTCGGCGCTCCCCTGGCCAGGAGAGCTGATGCCTTGGTGTCCAGGGAGGGGGACCTGACTTCCTCCTAGCACGCTGCGCTCTCCCTAGGGTGTTGAGCGCTGGTGCGTGCGAGTGTGTGTGTGAGTGTGTGCACGACGGTGAGCTTGTGAGCTTCCTCTCTCGGCTCCAGCGCAGGCAGCGCCGGCAACGTTACTCTCCAAGCAGCCGCCAGCAAAGCAAGGCAACGGCAGCCTCCGCCTCCTCAGTCCGGTGATTGGCTGGTTTTGCTCATCATTTCCCTGCTAGAAAAAGGGAAGGGCCAGTGACGCCCCCAACCCAGCTGCAGAAGCGGCCGCCACCTCCAAGGCACAAGGTGTCTCATCTGCAAAGAAACCTGAGCCCCAGGGAGGCGGCGCGGAGTGTCCGGGCAGAGCTGGCGCGAAAGGCGAGGGAGAGGGCAGGGCAGCGCTGGAGGACCAGCGCGAGCTCGGCCGCAGAGGACCCTTGCGACCTGCTCCTGAGATCCCGGCTTCACGCTCTCCTCGCATTTTACAGAATCCTCCCGTCGACTGTATCTCCTCAAAACGGAGCCTCACCAAGAGAAGGTGAGGGAGCAGGGGCAACCAGGACTTTTCCGGGCACCCAAGATGCGCTCCATTAGGAAGAGGTGGACAATCTGCACGATAAGTCTGCTCCTGATCTTTTATAAGACAAAAGAAATAGCAAGAACTGAGGAGCACCAGGAGACGCAACTCATCGGGTAAATGCACAGCTTAATTTCAGGATATGACAAAAAGTCAAGCCATAAATGAAATCTGAACATGATAGAGTGAGGGCTGGGATAGTGTGTTCGCATGAGCTTGTGTGTGTTTAGTCTCATGAATTAAATAACAAAGGCTGTTGTTGTGGTGTGTGTGCTTCTCTACAGCGTGTTTTCAGTAGGAGTTCAACTTGCCCTGTGCGGTTGTAGTGACGGTTGTGTTGGCGCCGGGGCTCGCACGCCAAAGGAGAAGTCACTGCAGAAGTGTCAACAAAGAATGTGTGCCCTTGTCCTTTTAATCCGTGGGCAGAACTCAAGCGAGTTCTCTTGATATTCACCATCTGATTGCCCTTCTTTCTCTGCCTTATCACTGCACGGAGGCACTAGAGAAAGCTGGCTTTCTGAAAGGCTGAAGTAAAGCCCAGAAAGCAGGAAATGTATCTCTTCTGTTCTTTACTCTTCTTAGGCGTCGGTAGATGTATGCATTTTAATTTGAATTAGTAACTCCAGTACAACCAAGGATACTTCCTCATTTGCTGTTTCGTGGGTTAAACGGATGGGCGTCATGGTTACAGTTTTAGAAACTGGGTACTGTTGCTTCGCACAGACTATATTTCTGCTCTTTCTTTAGTTTGTCTAGATGAGTTCAGTCTCTCCCCGCCCGGCCCCACGAAGTTCTCTAAATATCGCACTTCCTTCCTCCCTCCCCCCGGCCTCCGTGTCTTTGAAGTTTACCCAGGAGGTGGCTGCAACTCTGTGTTGCTTACAGAGCTTGGAAGCGTTTTCTGAGGATGTGAACCTGGTTGTCAACTCTGTTCAAAGTCCTGTTTCCGAAATCCTCCCTCATCCGGAGGCGTGCGCTGTTGGAAACTCCACACTGGCAGAGATGCCCGTCTGGTTTTTATTTTCCCTGATGTTTATTAAAACGAAGGGAGAACCTTTGCTTCTGTGTGTGTGTAGTGTGTGTGCGTGTGTGTGGCATAGGACTGCTGTTTTAGCACACACACACACACACACACACAAACTTCATGCACTCCATTTCTTAATATTCCTGCTCCTCCCTAAGTAATGAGCATTTAAGTGAGCACGATACAGTCTTAGCCTTACAGAAGGAATTGCTATGTTAGAGAAAACTAAGAAGAAATACAGTCGAAAGGGACTGGAAGAGAATGAAAAAGCTAATAAGGAATGGGCTTGATGTTCGTTATGCATCACCAAATCTATAAATGGTCTATTCTGGGGGAAAAATGCCAAACTGTATGAGGTTCTTTACACAGGGAGTGGGTGCGTTGAAAATGCAGCCCAGTTCAATTGTCAGAAAAGAAGGACTTGGGGCAGGGGTGTGGGCATCCCCGCCAGACCTGTGATTCCCAGGCAGACAAAGGGGTCTTTAGGAAGGTGATGAACCGGCGCGTGAGGGAGAGGCGGAGGCTGGGGCGTGGGGGTCGAGGCTCTTTGTTCCCTTCCGGGCTGGTGGGCTCCAAAGATGAGCCTGAGCCCAGACAAAGCGGCCGAACCCGGCCAGGACTCTGAGGGTTCGGGCCCCGGCTCGGGACCCTGGAGAGCAGGAGTGGGCGGGGCGAGCGAGAGGAGGCGCCGCCAGCTGCCCAGACGCCCTCCCAGCCTTCCCTAAACCTCAGGGAGGGCAAGACGGAGCTGCGCACCCCCAGTCCCTCGGGGGGGGGGAATAACAGACCCGGGACGCCCCACGTTTCACTGGCGACATTCCTCCTTTCCTGGACCCCGGCGGCCGGGGGGCGCTGCGCAGCGCCGAGAAGGAGGAGGCGGCGCGGGCACGGCGGTGGTGGTGACAGTGGCGCTGGCCCGGGGGGCTTTCGCTCGCACCCTGGTCAGGATGAGCTGCGGGTTCTTCCTGGCTGCTCCGAGACAGCGCGGGGCGAGCGCCTGAGTTAATCAGACAGCAAGAGAGGTGCGCCCCGGTTCTGTCCCCTCCTCCCCGAGAGCTGGCAGCGAGGATGGAGGAATGAGTGAGGAGACAGGAGGAAGCCTTTATTGCAGGAATCAGGCCCCTTAAAAAAATGACTTTTGCTGCTCAGCCGGCAACCAGGCTCCTCCTCCTTTATTAAACCCCGCAATTACAGCCACGCGGGGCGAGGCAGAGAGCCCGCTGCCGGCGTCGCGCTTCCGCCGGTGCCCCGCAGCGTCCTGGCTGCTGTGGCCGCGCCGACTCCTCCCTGAGACTGGGAAACAGACGCTGCCCGGAGCAATGCGAGAAGGACAGCTGGTCCCCCTGAGCGCTCTTTCCCTTTTCCCTTGGGATGAAACGTTCAGTGGAAAAGCTTGTGATACTAGTTTGTGATTTCGTTTCAACTCGCAAATAGAGCCTCTGGTGGAGGAGTTGACTCATCAAAAGATCTAATCGTCTCATTGACTCTCTTTCTAACCAAGCCACGTGGAGGTACTAGCTTTGAGATGAGTCAACTAGAGAGGCGGTTTGGCCCCAGAGCCCAGGCCAGTAATCAAAAGTGAGGTAAGAGAGGCAGTCTCTGACCTTTGGGGGGCACTGCGTGCCTTGCGTGTGGGCTGTAGATTCAGTTAAGGGCCTTGCATAGTCCTTGTATCTTAGAACATCCTCCTAGATGCATGTTTAGCCTTACTGCCACCATTTTGCAATGGGCAGGCAGTTTCTTTATCTATGCGACCTGCCCCTCTCTTAACTGGAGTCCCCTCTAGAGTCTGTGCGCCATTACTCTTCTTGTATACAATATCGAGCAGAATTCCACGCAGAAGGAAAAAGAGAGCACACCAGTACAACTTCCCTGCCAACCATCCACATTCTCATAGCTCCAGAGGAATACTAGCAGCACCTATTTCATAAGGAATTTATTAGAGAATAGGTCAAGTAATTCTTACACATTTAAAACTGCTATTTCCTTCCATGCAAACCTGTGAATTGCCTGGTATGATGACTAGTTAATAAAGTTTAACGCAAAGGGCATTGGGGTATGAAGTGGTCTGTTCCTGACTGACATTTTTTCTTAATGGGAAAATGGCACGTGCTTCACAGTTGGCCCATGATTTCACTGGCTCTGTGTGTGCTCTTTCGGTATAATTGGAAGTGTGTTAACTTAAGGATCCTACAGATAAAAAGATGTGGATATGCTCATTTAATGAGAGAATGTATTTGAAAATTGTCACACAAGCTTTCATATCATACAAACTTTTGTTTTCATTGTTACTCCTTAAAACTTGCCACATACTATTTTCCTAGTTGATCAAAAATGAGACTTTTAACTTACTTTTCTTTCATCTAGAGATCTCCTTTTTAACTTGTGTACATTAGGTTGCTCACTAAATGATCACCAGAATTAGTTCTGAAACTCATGATAGAATTGACAGTTGATATAACATTCCCACTTAGAGTATCACCATTGTCAGCAAAGATAGTTCCAGTGTCTTCTAGGGTAGAACGCATTGCTGTAAATCTGAAAACTCAGAATCTGCATTTTACTTCATATTTACGTGTAGAATTCTACTAAAAGTCATAAGCAGTCAGTTAAGGTAGTACATCCTATCTCTATTTTTTGTTGTTTGACACTTAGGTAATGAAGACACAAAATTTCCTGCTGGTTGTGTTCAGGTTTAGTTTGAGGCAAGTTCTCGTCTTTTAAATGACTTCTAAAATCTTATATAAAGGAGGAAATGTAATGTAATCCAAAGGGAACACATTCATTCCAAAGCCAAGTTATGAAGAGATTTCCGTGGGGTTGAATGCAGGGCTTTTGAGACCTAATTTTATGAAACAAAATTAATCATGTTTGTTATGTACTGCAGAGCTAATAGAACAAATTGTAGGGATATGCCTAGCAACTCATATCTCAAAGAGAAAAATATCTGTAAATGCTAGTAACATAACTAATGATTAGTTTCTGTTATTAGTATCACATAGTATCGGATCTAAGTGGGTTTGTCTTAGTTCCATATAAGCAGGAATACTTTATAATATATATTGCTTTATGCTGTATTATTTCCTTGATATGTTTTGTAATTTTCTCTTTTGTGGTATTGCATCTTCCTGTATATAGCCCTATGTGAGGAATGTTGTCAGTGCAGCTGTTTAGCAACTGAGTCTGATGTGGAATGAGAAACTAGTAGGGGGTGGCAACATCCTTCATGCCTTGCATTCACGGGAAGGAAAAGCCCTTTCTAAGACAGAACACTACCAAGGTCACAATTGAAAAATCCCTTGGGACCCATTTAACTTTATACAAAGAAATTTGCTCCAGACCTAAGATTGCACTAAGCCTGGCCTTCTCACACATGAATTCCATTGACGTCAAGAAGTGTGACTAGTTGTAGTTATTTTCATTCAAAGTTATTTCCAGTGATAAAAGTCCAGAATTTGGCTCATCAGCAGTTCAATGAAAATAATTCAAAGCAGAGTAATATGGTAGTATTTCATGAATATAAAATTGATCTAAACTTTTAAACCTCTGTTTTTTAACCTTAGAGGTTCTGGAAAGACTCCATACAACTAAGTACATCATAGCAATCATTCAGCCATGTAAAAATGTATATAAATCTACATGTCAGTACTGCAATCTTCCACAGAGATTTAAAAATGCCAGCCCATGTATATTTTTACTTCTCATATAAAAGTTTATGGGGTGGTGAAAATAATTATTATCATCATAGCAGTCTGTGGTTAGGAAAAGATATTGACAGGCCAGTTATTAACAACATGAAGACCAGAAAGATCCCTACCCCTAGAAATGGTGAGAGTTTGTGCCCATACTTTTGAAGGCACATCTCGAAAATTGTGAAGGTTAACTTCCATGTATATCCACACTTTCATTCATATATAGTTATTATCATTAGATATGTAATATAAAAATTGACTTCTGGGACACTGAGTAGTAAATTGCATCCTGTGTTTCCTTGCATCCTAAATGACCTCCATAAAGTGATTATCATTAGCTGTGCATAGAAATATAAATGTATCATTTTCATCAGTAGGATAATTTAAAATATTAACTTTTATGGAGTTCTAAATTTCACAGGGAGTAGTTGCATATGATGCTTTGAGTTGCTTCAAATTTGAACAACATGTTTAAAAAAGAATGCAAACCAAAATAACAAACTGTAAGCCTCCAATTACAGAATTCATCTAACAGCTGTTACACAGGCATGTTTCCATTGATAGTAGGAGAGGATTGCCTACATAATAAACACAGATTTAGACTTTGTGACTGAGCAAATAGTCATGCCACTTCTTAACTATGTTTTTGAGATTCTAAAAAGTTAAGAGGTAACGTAAAGGAATAAATGTAGATATTGAAGGGCTATGCCGTAAACAGAAGGCTTTTTGATTCTTTGAGTCGAGCTTTACATCTATAAAGTGCCAAGAAAATAGTTTATTGAATAATGAACTGGTTGAGCTGTAAATGTCCTAGTGGCATAAATGCTATCATAGGTATCTGTCACCATCATCACTACCACTAGCACCGCTGCTACCACCATGCCACATGATATACTTGCCTGACAGTATTGATTGGAGGGGTAGCACAGTTTATTTTTTTATGTGGTGGAAAATACCAATAATAATGGCTATGAAATGATTTTCTCCTCACTACAATCTTTGTTTCCCCACCACCAACAACTATCAGGAAAATGTCTCCTGGGGATGTGTTGAGACCCAAGGTAATTTTAGAAATTAGCACTTCGATAGTGCTTTATAAATTACTTTCACATACAGAGTCCCACTTAATCCTCACAAAGTCATTGCATATTAGATAATGTTATTGCAATTTTCAAAGTAAGGGAAGGCCAGTGTAACCTAGAAAGAGAACATCGTCCAAGGACATAAAGGTTAGCAAGTGGTAGAATCACCCCTGCCCAGATCAACTGATATTCCAAGGTCTTCTTACTCCAAAACAAAAGCTCCTCCCACTATGTCTCTATGCCTTCTGCGAAAATCAAATTACAATCTTGGGAGTCACGATTATACAGATGCAGGAGAATTGGCCAAACATCCTGTCTCTATTGTCCAGACATAGTGGGGAGGGAGGGACTAAAGGGGAACAGAACTTTGATGAGAACTTTTTTCTTTAAATACCACAAAGCCCTTTTCTTTACGTGAAAATGGTTTGATTTCAAAAAGAATAAGTGAAAATGATTGTCCTGATGAAGTCGTACTCACTTAATCCTTATAATACCTTTCATCATGTCATACCTCTTATTCTAACATCTAGAAAAAGTTGTACCTACAATTTGTCACCAGTAATCTAAATCAAAAGATCAATTATGCTGCTTAGACAAAATGCTTCTTACTTTCACAAAGCTGGCATTTTTGTTTTGTTTCAGAGATGGTGAACTGTGTTTGAGTCGGTCGCTTGTCAATAGTTCTGATAAAATCATTCGAAAGGCTGGCTCATCAATCTTCCAGCACTCTCTAGAAGGTTGGAAAATCAATTCCTCTTTGGTCCTGGAAATAAGGTGAGTTTCTCTAATAAGGCATAATAAATTTCACATCATGTTCTCAAATATGTTGGGCTTGGCGAACTTATAATGAATGCTTGATTTATAGTTTAAGTATGAATACTTTAATAAAAGGGTGAATCAGTTCTACTTAATGTGGCTCATTGAAGGATGTGAAATCATAAAACTGAAATCTTTATACAGTCAGAAATTTAAGGATGAATATGTGAGTTTTGAATATACCATCTTCAAACTAATAGATATTCAATATTAAGTACCAAATATTCAATAGAATGCTAAATTTTCAATTCAATACTAAATATCAATAGAATACTAACATTTAACATGCTTCGCTCTATTATTCAGGATGGACACATTTTGAGAATTATCTTTAACTTCCCTATTGAGTCTTCATACTGAGCTTGTGTTTTCTCACACTAGATAAAAACAGAGTCTATTCAACTCCTATTTTGCTGACAATTATAAGTAAATTTGACTAACTCTATGAATGAGTATTTCTATGTGAATTCCTGTAATAAAATTCTCAATAATTATATCGTAAATAGGTAAAAATCAGAAAGTGAGCTTATTAGAGTACTGGTTTATTCTTTGTAAGATTTTGGCATTTTAGCTGAAATAAGCTCTTGAAATCAAACTCATTGCCTACATATACCCATTGTATCTTATTTTCTTCAATTATAATCCTGTTACTAGTAAGAAATTTAGGCCCAGACCTTTCTAATTATGGAGGAAGCAAGATCATTTTTCTCTGTAGTTACATTGCTGTGTTGGTTGGTATGTTTAAATCAGAGCATTTCAGTAAATCAGAACTCTTTTTAAAAGTTCAAGAGAACAACCATACTTTACATAGTAATACCATTGCATTTTTCTACTACTGGCAAAATGTTGATTATTAAATGATTTGATATTAACACAGATTTTGTAAGAGTAAGTTAGTGGTTAGGAGGATAAGCTGCTGATCTGTTTGTCTGGGTTTCTACCTACTCACTTCTTGGACCACACCTACATATAATGTAGATTATAAGCCAGTTGAAGGAAAAATGTACTACACATCTTTAGAGTAAGAATGCATTGCAGCAAAGGCACTCACTGCATGTAGAAATATACTTGAAACAATGTCTGGAAATTAAAAAGGGATGGGTGTCAGGGAAATGCAGGAATGGTTAAAGTATTTTGTTTAAAGCTTTGGCCATGGCTGGAAAGGGAAACAGGAATCAAACCTTGGCAATGTCAAGTTGTGTATGTTTGGTTGCTTTCGGTTTAGGGGGCACTTTGTATATTTGTAGGCAGAGTACAAGATGAGTAGAGTCTGAAGACAGAGTTTATAAATTGGTGTCATCTGGGGGTAATGTGGTCAGCAAGCAAGATTTATTTCAACTGGTTAGAAAAAGAATTTAAAGGCAATATTAAAAATTAGGAGATTCCTTATAAAAGTACTGATTTTCATATACTCTTGAGAAACTGAAAAATTTGACTACTCTGTACCTGAATTTCTTTTGAGGACTAGTTGGCTGAAGCCAACACTAGCCATGGTCTCTCCAGTTTGACATTTTTACCTCCAGGCATGCCTTCTCTCATGATACCTACCTAGTATCTAATATCTGCCTCACTATCTCACACTGCTATATCCACATTTGAATTTAGAAATCCTATAAGAGATGAGATAATTATGAGGAAAAACAACAGGATGTGGGACTATATAGGGTCATAAATACAGGTGTGTTTTAGTTTAGAACAGAGTAAGGATTCATATTTCTTGGAGGTAGATTGGAAAGAGAGAAGTATGTGTGATTAAAAAGGGAAATATTTGATCTGTAAAGATGTCTCAAAAGAGAATTTTCAAATCGAATTATTTGGCAAGAAGAGAGCCAATTAGGTAAGGCTGTACCGATCAGGAAAAGGAGAGTAATGGAAGAAAGTAAAGTAAAATAAGAAATTGCATAGTTTAATTAATATATCTAGACATGCTAAATAATATATCAAATAAAGTAAAGCCTAATTAAGTAAATTTAATAAGTAATTGGCAATAGTTTAATTAATATATCTGGCTATGCCTTCCTAGTATCTATACAAAAATGAATACTGTGGATGTGCATGAGGCTACACAGGTACACTTTGCTATTTTTAACATATTCAAGCTAAGGATATTAATCATAAATTGACCCAAGTAATTCCTTATTGCAAGTTTACAAATTAAGAGCGGTTGCAGTCACATCTTTGAGGGTGATCTATTTTCAATTATAACAGCTGATAAGATGAAATGTGTGAAACGTTAGTCTTTTCTCATGGTTCTCCTTAACAGATGAAGAAGAAAACAACAAAACAGTGAGCAAATATTGAATAATACCCACAAAGTTGTCCCTTCCGTATAAGGAAATAATAACTTTTAAAATCATTATTGTGCGATGTGCAAACAGTTCATAAAAATTCTAATTGCCTATGGCAGTAGTGACTAGTGAGTATTAATCATTTGACATCTGTAATAAAAAATTTAGAATACAAAAATGACCGATTGTTAGCTTAGCTTTTGTTTATCTTAAGTCATACTGGAAACTAATCATAAAGTATTTTGGGTTATTATTCTTCTTTGTTTCTTCCCCACATCTATAGCATTTATGAAGAACCATGTTATTTTGTGTCTGTGAGTGGGTGCGGGCATATTTTACAAGTCTTTTCAAAATTCTACTTTGAAGTTTTTGATTAAGACATTACAACTAATCATTTTTGATCTTACATGATTGAACCATGCTTACAAATATTTCTCATTTTAAAAATCTCATTAAACTTATAATGCTCTTATGACATTCCTAATAAATTATTTATCTATTTACATTAAAATGTGAAACAGTTACTGAAGATAAATTGCTTTTTCCCTACATTTGTAGACACAGTTTTCTTATTACTAATTCTCTCAGTCCTGTATGTACTCTGCTACTGTCATAGGCACATCAAGGATTGATTCATATATATTCATCAGGCAACTGTACCTCTGGGAGCTGTCTAAGAGAGATGGTTCCACATAGTAGTTCGTTGTGCTTTGAAGATGCATCAAGATTTAGGGGATTTTATGTATTCTATAGCTAACTTCACAATTAAGATAACTTGGTTAAGGCTCAATTTTATTGGCAGTAGTTTGTTCTTTATTATTGTAAGCTAAGAAATGACACATTTAAGATGCATCAGATGTTGTGAGTAAATCCGTGAATATTGTACTGAGAGATTATGTGGTGATGTCCAACACTTGTGACTTGACTTTTTTTTCCATCTTTGGGTTGTTTCTTTTCTTTCTTTTCTCTCATTTTTCGTGTGTCAAAGAATTACAATTACAGAGAACTACAACTACCTAAAGAAATACGATACCAAATGTGAATGTATAGAAACGTATGAGGTCATCAGGACAGAGTAAACACATCATAATGAATCAGAAAAAATATTTTCAACTCTTAGTATCAACATATATTAAAGTTCTTAAATTGATAAGCCTTGCATTTTAACTAAACATAACTGAAAATTTATACGTGCCTACCCTTTGAAAAGAATTTGCTGTTGATTACTTGAGAAAAAGGTCCACATTCAACTCTTTTACTTACTTTGCTCAGTAAGTGACCAGTACAGCACGTCTTGGGTCACACAGCTTATTAGTGGCAGAATCAAGCTTCAAAGCCAGGCCTGTCTGACTATAGAACCAGAGCTCTTATCATGAAACCAATTTCTTAGAGATCTATATTTAATACTAAAAATGCATCCTATTAAAATGTATCTTTAGGGAGTACACAATAGTTTTTGGTTCTAAAATAATAAAACATAAGATATTATTCACCCAGTATTACCCAATGCTGGGCCAAATATCACGTGGCCATCTGAGGTATAAATTAAACTAAAAAATGCTTTTCTTCAAGCATTTTGAGACAATTTTTCCTTTCATTTGGTTATGTTCAGGATTTTTCTTTTTGATACTAGAATATCTTTTAACAGCTAAGGCCCTAAGCTCAGAAACCCTAACAACCTACAAGTTATGTTCTTTCAGAGCTTTGAGGCATGTTGCCTTGTGGAAATAATCTCTTGAGACAAAAAATTGTGTGTTCTCTCTGCTTTTTGTAGGCATAATGAAACACTTGGCATTTCTTAAACTTTTTTTTTCTCTTTAGTAAACCGTGTCAGTAACAATTGAATTGATTCAGTGATTTTTGTCTGGAGTCAAAAGTTTGTAAAAGTTGATTCCTAATATATGTCTCATAACCTAATTTGCTTCTCACCTTGCAATGCATTCCAGCTATAAGATTTTTCTCACCATACTTGCTGATGGAGTCAACAATGTCATTTAGATTAAATTTTAGTTGCCCCAGCACGTATGCTTGTTGTTGACGAGAAACGTACAGAGAAGAAAGAGTGGCACCTGGTGATGGGTTAGCTATATTTAACATTTCACAAGTGAAAACAATGTGTAGTAAATTAGTTCTCCGGGACTCTGCAGCTGCTATTTCAAGGGACGGGTGGTGTTGAAAGGGAAGTTCTACTTGAAAATTCAGTTGAAAAGTTTCTGTATAGAATCTGTTCCTGTCAGTTTAACAGTCTAAACCGGCCTTTCGGTTTAAGTCAACATTGCCTACAAGAAATAATCTTTATGACTAAGTTCTTTAGTCTTACTGAAAGTGAAACATATTTTCAGATTCTTTCAGTTATCTTTATCGTTAAAAGTTGCTGAATTTTGATGTTTGCTTATCTAATGGGGTTTCAAAAGTTATATTATGCTTGCAAAATGACAGTTAAAGACCAGTAAGGAATCTTTGTTGTTGTTGTTCTTTGAAGTCAGACACAGGAAACACAACTCCTGCTTTACATTTCTGGTACTAACTTGATGTTAAGAAAACTTGTACCATCACAGCCAGCATATTAAACATTAGCTTTTATTGATTCACGTTTCTTTAAAACCCAGAAGTTAAATTGAGTTTTCTTTCTATCTCAATCTGAAGTAATTTTGTATAACCTACTCTTTTCATTTATGTCAATTATCTTGTGAGCAAAAGAGTATATGTTGTCCCTGGTGATACTCAGTGTTGTTTCAGTTCAATGTAAGTACAAGAGATTTTCATGCTTCCAGTGACATTTAGTTAATTATATTCAAGCACTAGTTTTCTTCTTTCCATAGTCTGAACAACAACTAGCCTTAGCAAATACACAGAACTTTTTATAGTCCATTACCTCTATGATCTAAAAAATGCCTACTGCCTGCTAGAGAGAAAAAAGAGAAAGTAACCTTTTCTTACTGTTTCCAAAAAATATTAATCATTGAAGTCACAATGTTATTCACCAGTAGTAATTATTTTCATTCTATCTTGCATCCAACATCAGGAATCTTAGCTCAGACAATTTTCCATCCATACATTCAAGCCCTAAAATAGAAACTAAAAATCTGGTTCTCTGTGAGATAAAAGAACACGCTGGAGCCACTCAAGGTTTCCTTTCCCACCTGCCTCTTTCAGTTTAAAAAAGTAAATACTCCACTAACAGTCATTCTGAGTTTCTCCTAAGAAACTTATATTTTTATATTTTGATGTCTATGTGAATTGATATTTTTTAACTCTGTCTTGGAAAGCACTTTTACTATTTTTACTGCTGCCATTTAAAAAAATAAACCACCGTGTTGAGTCTCTAACACAGCATTGGAAGAACACATACAATAGTGTCATCTGCGCTTAATAACTTTTTATCTCATTAAGCTATTTTCTTCCAAGAGTTAGACAATGTGATATCTTTTAAAAGTTTGCTGAACTCTTATAGTCCACTTTTTTATATCAATTTTCCCTGAGTGAATAAATTAAAGATGTTCCATTATTCAAGAATTTAGAAGACTCATGCTCAAAAATATTTTTACTGCTGACTTTCTATACCACAGCAGTGCTGTTATTGGAAAGCCCCTCTTGCTATCAGTTGACAAGCATGTAAGTGTTAACCTTTTTCATAAGTAAAGGGATTTTCCCTTTTGCATTTCCAAGCTAAAAAATCTTCTTTCAAATCTAGACCTCTAATCTAATCACTTCGTGCTTGCAAACATGCCCCTCCTTGTGAGCTATATCTTCAAATATCTAAAGCAACCCATTTAAATTATGTTCAGAGGAAGACGATGATGCCGTCTAGTTTGGTGATTTGACCACATCCGTGCAGTCTTCGTTTTAGAGCAAGTCTTGTCGTTGTCACAGGAAATGAAAAATTTTTGTTGAAATACAGGTGTCAGGCATTACTTATTTTCTTCACTGAACAAATAAACGGTAGTTAGTAAGTGTGTACAAAAGTTTCTATGGATTGCTGCTTTTGATGTTAGATGTTAATTTTGGGGAAGAATCATGTTATGTTCAACACAGTGAAAGATCTCTCAATTTTCTGCAATTCATTTGCCCAACAGTTGCTGATTTCACCGGCAACTCTATTGTTGAATAATCTGTATTTTTGTTACGATGAACTGTTATTGTGTCTGATAGTATTTCTGTTAAATTTTAAATTTTACTTTTAGGGTGTTTATACACGTTTTCCTGTACAAATTTCACTCCTTATGAATCTGACATCTGAATATTTGAGAAAAAAATGCAAAAAATATTTTCCTTTTCAGAGAGCTGATGGACATTATCCCTGTCATATAAAATCTGGCCAAATAAAGGTTTCACTCACTTGGCTTTCTAATTAGACCACACATTAAACTGGTACCTATTTAAAGCAAACCAAAACAAAGAAAACAAAAGGAAAAATATGATTTAATTATTTCCCATCCCTCCTTGCTAGTTATGCTTCTGGCTAGTAAGTGCGATTTGGGGAATTGCCCTTTTGGTGGAGAGATGGGAGAAGGTCATACATCGTGCTCAGTAACAAAATTTATGATTTCTGTGATAGAGCTTAAATAATAATAGCACTAGAGGGAAAATATATTTGTCATATCTTGAATGTTATAATAATGGCATTGTTTCTAGCACTCTGAAAATACAAGCTTGTAATAAAAGCACTTCAGTAAATAACATCCAACTTCCAACCTAGAGGAGAGCTTTCTCAGATGGCTTCTGGCTGGTATATATTTGGTAGCTTGGGGATCAAGCAATCCCAGACTTTTGTAGGCCAGGTTCATAGTTTCTTTGGCAATATAATTCCCTCATAAACTTACTAGCTTCCTGGGATATTTCCTTGGTAGTTAGTTCCTGGTATAAATAACCCCACCCACAGATTCCTTCTGATCATAGTTTTTCAGCTGTCTAACTTCTAGTTATTCTGGCCTATCCATCCTTTCCCTCAACTTAGTGGCAGCTACTCTTAAGTCATTTGAATCTACAGATTTAGGTGGGAAGGGAATATCCTTCTTGCTGCTGGGATGGCTCTGATTTATAGTTGTATCTCTTGCTAACTGGGGTATTAGAAACATTTGCGAGGTCCCCTTTACTAGACTCACACAATTTAGATTACAGGCTCTTGCCAGATACATTCCCTTCCATCTCAGCCTGCAACTTGGCTATTTCATGCCTGGCTTCACCTCTTCGCCTTGCTAAAAGGAGTAACCAATATAAAACAACATACAAACACTTTTTAACCGATTCTCCAAGAGCAACAAGCTAATTAGATGTAGGGTGTGACTCCCAAATTATGGCAGACAATAGTTTTATCAGGTGCTTTGCTGTATCATGCCAAGGGTCACCAACTTTCCAGCCAGCTATATCTATTTTCTCATTTTCCATCATCTAACTTAGCATATGCATATATGTCTATATAGCATCTCACATCTGTTATCAATTTATTTATTAGATGTGGGATAGGCTAAACTTCCATAAAAAAGAGACCTTAAAATACAGTGGGTCAGACAAGTTGGAAGTTTATTTTTCTCTTCTATAGTCACGCACTTGATCCATTCATATCCCACTTAAGAAAACTAACTCGTATGACCAAACCCAGCTGCGCTTGGGTTTAGAAACTAAGAAATGTTCTAGCTGAGCATCCGTGTACCAAAATACTAAGGGAAGAAGGGAAGATTCAAATCCTCAAAGGAAGAAGGGAAGAAAGAATATTAAGGGACAATTAGCTGTCTCTGTCATGCATAGTCCTCTTGTTCTATCTGTCCATCTTTTCCTCTAATGTAGCCGTCTTACTTCCCGGATTCTTGAGCTTGGAAGAAAACTTTCATATACATTGAATGCTATAGTTTTAACTCTTCTTCAAATAATTATAGTATACACATAATTTGGATAAATGTATATAAATTTATTGGGAAGTTGAATCCTTTTAATAGAGTTAACTAAGGTATAATTTCAAACAAGTTCAAGTTATTTCTCTTCATCTTAAGTAGGCAACATTAAACAGAATAGATGACTATAGAAAATTAATTAAAACTAGCAGATATCTAGCTATGCAAAGTCAAGTCATAGCAAATGTATTTTATTTAATAAACGAACTTTTCTATATATTTTGATAGATGGGGCCTTTTTTTTACTCCACAAGTAGGGATATATACTATAGCTATTTACAAAATCATTGAGAAACTATGTGCAAATGATTTTTTTAAATTATATTCTATAGAATATACTTAATTTGTTGGTTTGACTACCACCTGACAATTTAAGATTAATAATTTACCAATTTACATTTTAACATATGCATTACTTTGTAAGTGATATCACCAGTTCTTGGATATATTGTCACTAATGGAAAACTTTGCCTGTATTTCATCTGTAGGAAGAACATTCTTCGTTTCCTAGATGCAGAACGAGATGTCTCAGTGGTCAAGAGCAGTTTTAAGCCTGGTGATGTCATACACTATGTGCTCGACAGGCGCCGGACACTGAACATTTCCCAGGATCTGCATAGCCTCCTACCTGAAGTTTCACCCATGAAAAACCGGAGATTTAAGACCTGTGCAGTGGTTGGAAATTCTGGCATTCTGCTAGATAGTGAATGTGGAAAGGAGATCGACAGTCACAATTTTGTAATAAGGTGAGCTTTCTTCTCTTCTGGAAGATAGTAATTTCTTCAAAGACATTTTACTTCAGAGTAGAAAACTAGCAGAAATGTTTAAATCTAATATTAAGATTAAGAATTATAGAAAGCTCAAACATTTATCTACGATATATTTTTCTGTATAGTATACAAATTTACATCTACTCTGGAACATAAAATTAAAAATTGTTGTATTATTGAAAAAAAGGTGATCTTATTACAGCAATAAGATTCATGCCAGCTTTTTAAAGTTTTGGCTAAATAGTAATTTTATTAGATTTAATACTTACACAAGAAAACTATTTTTCTTAATATTTCTTCTTTATATTCATTACTTTAATATTAATTTATTCATTCACTAATATAAAGAATTAATTATTTATATGAGTTATTTATATTAGTGGATGAACAAATTCACTTAATTATATCCCTAATTCACTGTATATTCATAAATTATATTAATTAATTTATTCATAAAGATTATGAACATTACTATGGAATGATGTAACAGATGTAAATTAATTTTATGTTTTTACTGATAATTATTTAGATTATTTAGATTCTAAGAACATAATGTAGTAAGTTTATATTTAATATCATGGGCCACATTGCCTTCACTACTATTTATTTATGGTATTTGTGTCTGTTCATACATTTTAGTTTTTGAGTTTTCTCACATAATTAAACACGCCTGTTTGTTTTTCATTGACGGTCGGCAGATATTTGATGAGTCACGTGTTTAACTTTCGATTATCAGAAAGAAACATAACAGTAGAAATAAAATTGTGATGGCATCATAAATATTAGCAGTTTTTAATTTATTCATATATCTGAATAGATTTTTTAGCTCGTTTTAGTTTTTTAGAAAAATTCACTGAATGAATAAAACCTGTATATTGAAAAATGAAATAGCACCATATAAAGATAAATAGGAAAGTATGCTGATTTGCCACATTGACAAATAACCTAAAGTCTTGAAAATACACTGGCATCCAGCCTGTGAAAATCTTTTTGAAACATTATCTTAAAAATAAATATAATTAATTATATAAATATTAACCATAAATAGGCAACACCTTTTTCATAAAATACTAATAGCCATGGAAAAATCACAATAGAACACTATCAGGTGAATACAATTCATAACAGTGAATGTAACTACAAACACTTTATTATCTTACTGTTTCCTAGTTGGGTGCAGGGTCAGAGATTGATTTGACATCAGTTGAACGTTTAAAAACTTGAACTCTTAAATTGATTGGACTGACAGAAAAACCCTGCCGACATGTAGATATGTAAACAGAATTGTGTCCGAGGAGGAGGTAGAAATATTTGCTGAGGAAGTGACAATGGCAGTGAAAGTCATAAGCTTCAAAGCCTAAAGTCTGTGTGAAGTATGGTTGTGAAGAAAAAGTAGGGCTTCTAGAATTTCTGAAGAGACTAAAATCACAAGGCATGGAGAATAAAGGAGTAAAGATTTAGAGCATAATAGAAATTGTTGCAAAGGAAAGAAGAGAATTTTAAAAGTTGATTAGTACTGGAGAAATACTGGATCCAAATGTGACTGATTCCTTGTTCCTCTGACCCTCTAAGCTTCAGCATTGAGGTCTAGATAATCCATCAGGTTCAGCACCACCTCTGACTCTGAAATTAAGACTCTAGTGTTAGCTAACACTTCTATCAGATCACATAATTATCGCTTCTTTTTTGTGGTGAGAACAATTAAAATGTTTTATTTTAACAATTTTGGAGTTTATAATACAGTACTGTTGACTGTAATCACTATAGTTAGTGCATTAGATTTCCAGAATTTATTCATCTACTTGTTGCAAGTCACTTCCTGGTGTTTGGGCATTTGCAAATGGTAGAGTGTTTTTAGGAACAGAACTTCGAGAGATTCTTTATGCTTTTGTAAACTATGATTATTTTAAACACTTGTTTCACAAGAACACAATAGTGACCAATCCTATGAATCTATACTTGTGTTGCGGTCTTTCCAAGAAGTATATTAAAAAATGAAGATGAGCATCTTAATGAAGCCATAAAAATGATCACCATAATTATTTTTGAATTGTTTCCCCCATTTTTACTAGTTTCCAAAAATAGAAGTTGGAATATTCTAGATTAAAGTATGTTCTAGGGAAATGGAACCCAGGATTGGGTTTCTGATTTTCCAAGAAAAACTTTCTAAAGGTCCACTTATCATTAGAAACAAATAATCTCTGCAGAAAAACCATCTTTGTTTTGTAATAGCTACTTGGGAAATCCATTCCTTTGAATTTCATGGACACCAGGGTCTCCAATGACATATGATTATACCAAACCTCCATCCTTCCTAAATCTTGTCTTTCTCATGGCATTCTGGCTCATCATCTGTGTGCCAAATACCTTTTCCTTCCCCAAGTATGTGTTGCCTTCTGTTATTTACATATGTCTCTTCTGCCCTGGAACATTAAGAAGGATTTTTGACTTAAAACTAAGTCAAAGCCTCATTCCTTGAAATAGTTTCCCATCCATATCAAATTTCATAAATTTTAGTAACAATCTTTAGAATTTTTCAAATTTCTCAACTTCCCAGAGACATATTGGGTGTTTATCTGCACAGGTGTAGACAGTTTTGGTTGTTGTTTGCATGTGTTCCCAGTTTGTTTGTTTGTTTCTCAATTTTCCTGTTAGATAGTAAGTTTGTTAAGGGAGAGATAAATTATGCCTGGTCTGCTTGCAGAAGGCAGTAATTAGTTCAGTGACCCCTCAAGGATCAGATTCAGCCAGGTATTACGTTCAAGTTGACCTCTAACTTTATAAACCAAAATGTTATTTTTAGATAAAATCTTCCATTCAACATTAATTAAATTCTAAACTTTACCTTTGTTTTTTTTTGCAAGGGCTTTGAAGAAATGAAATGCTGTTTCTTTGTTTAGTGAGATACCAGGACCATTATTACATGCAAACAGGAATCTCTTGCTCTAAACAGTTGTCCTATTGGGGGAGGAAGACAGAGGCCATATACATGGCATTATTGTCCTGTGAAGTGTAGTTTTTGTTGTTGAGGAAGATTCGCCCTGAGCTAACGTCTGTCACCAATCTTCCTCTTTTTGTTTCAAGAAGATTCTCCCTGAGCTAACATCTGTGCCAGTCTTCCTCTATGTTGTTTTGGTCACTGCTACAACATGGCCAGTGATGAGCGGTGTAGGTCCACACCTGGGAACTAAACCCAGGCTGCCAAAGCACAGCGTGCTGAACTTAACCACTGGGCCGTGGGGCTAGCCCCTGAAGTGTAGTTTTGGATAATATTATTTTTAAAATCCCACACAAATATTTTAAAATAAGCCTGTGAAAAGTGCCCATATGTCTACACAAATAATGGTAGCTATACACAAATACAGACACACATACACATTGCCATGCATTTCCTCTTCTAGAAGAGATTGTCTCTCAGTGGCTATTTGTATTGTCAATTAATCAATTAAATTGAATGCTGGTTTCTGTGGGACATTACACAAAATAGGAGCTCTGATCAATATCACTACGTGTGCTTCAAGTAAAAAAAATAATAATAAGGATAGGAAAATAAATTAAAGCCTAGTTTTGATTCTCTAATGACTGAATAAATATTGAACTGATTTATAAAATTTAGGTCTCATATACATATATACCTAAATAATAGAAAATAAACATAAGAAAAATAATTTTATTGCTTAGTCAAAAGTGCCTAAGATCAGAATTCAGATAATAGTGTTATGTTCACTTGATCAGTGTTTTTCATATGTGCAACCCTCAAGACATCTAGTACGTGGTTCCTCAATTAATGAATGCCATGTTGCAAGAAAGGAAGCTTGGCTAAGACAGATAAACATGGGTGGTCACTCCCTCAAGTTGAAAATATCTTACTTCTCTTGACCTGCAATCTTGTCTGATAGGGAAGATTCACAAAGGATGATAAAGTTTTTGTGATGTTAAAGATGTTGTCATATGGCGCCAGATAAGCAAAATTTTAACTAATTTACTCTGGCATTTTCTTGAGAAGAAAAAAAAATGGGGGCAAAAAAGGAAATGTGATTTTTATCTTTCCAGCTTTATTGAGATATAATTGACATATAAGGTTGTATAAGTTTAAAGGGTGCAATGTACTGATTTGATCCACTTACATATTGCAGTATGATTACCCCATAGCGTTAGCAAACACCTTCATCAGGTCACAGAATTATCATTTTGCGATGAGAACAGATAAGATCTACTCTCTTAGTAACTTTCAAGTATATAATATAGTATTGTTAACTATAATCACAGAGTGCTGGGCATTAGATCCTCAGAACTTACTCATCTTCCAGCTGGCAGCTTGTATTCTTTGACCAACATCTCCCCAATTCCCCCACCCCTCACCCCCTGGTAACCACCATTCTGCTTTCTGTTTTATGAGTTTGGCTTTTTTAGATTCCACATATAAGTGATATTATGCGGTATTTTTTTTCTCTGCCTGACTTTTTTCACTTAGCATAATGCCCTCAAGTTCCATCCGTATTGTCACAAGTGACGGGAGAGGAAATATTATTTTAATATTATCCATTAGACCTAATTCTTCAGATATTGATAGGCATTTTGAATTTTCTGGACATGATATCTTGAAACTGGAGGAAACCATGACTTCCCTTTATGTGCTTCTGCATCCACAGAGGAGGCATAGTCCAGGATCTATATAAAAGAATGTTCTGTGGAGTGTATGATTTTATCTCCAATATTCTCTTTTTCCTCTCTGGGATAAGCTCTTCCTTTATCCAATAATGTCTATGTCCATGGTGTTTTTAAGTAAAGAAAAGTGCAATTTTAGGCCTAACAATAGCTTTGTTTTATTAACTAATAAAAAGACATTCCAAATATTCAGTTGACTAATGTTACACTTCTAGCATCAATTGTATTGATGTGTGTAGAAAGAAAGAAGGAAAATATATATGATTTTAAAATTGTGAAACACTCCTCTGTACAAGTACTTATAGGCC